CTGGTCACTTTAGCCTCTGGAAATGACAAGGGGACCGTCCTGGTTCGGTTTAACCCTACTGTGCCTTACTCCGCCCCTAATCTCTATTTTCAACCTTCCAATCGTGGTGATCTAATGATTCATTGATCTTTAAATTCATTCATCACCCACGAATTGCGTTTCCAAACAGGTCCGCCCACTGCGATATCCCTATCTGTCTCAGGATTCCCCGTCTTCACACGCCGAGGTGTTAATCGACGAATTTTTCACCCTTCGCGTTTTCAGCGATACGATTGAATTTCGGGAGGGAAATATTGACCTGGGAAATGTCCAAAAAACTAGCTAGGCCATAATTTTGTGGGAAAAGGCTGCAGAGCAGAGTTCTTAATAGGTTCAAAGTCGTTCCAGCCGGCATTTTTTTCCAGCATATTTCCAGCCGTATATTCTAGTTCTTCTTCGAAACGCCTTTTTCTTGCCTTTGCACTAATCGACCTTTACACCAATCCATTCACATTCTCGGTAAAGTTCAGGTCCCCTTCTGTTTCGAGGTCGTACACAGCGTCTTGTAGGTGCTGCATTCGCACATCCCGAACGGTCACCCTATTGCTCTCTGGTTCTGCTCCCTCGTACCCTCCTACTTCAACTTTTTGTTCATCTTCTGTGATGCTCTTTGTTGTTGTTTATTTTGCGGTGACCGCTTTTCTTGAAATCACTTGCTATGCATAGTTTCTCCGAAATGACGGCTACTAGAGAAATCGCTGAGCGATAGAGCGTCAGTGCGCGCATATTTCACCGATTCTATGGGTGTTGTGAGGTGCTAGGATATTGATAAACGGTGCCTCCCAAGTGTGAGATTTGGCAGTCGAAAGTCGACGTTGGGTGGACTATGAAAGTCAGGATTCTGGAAAATTTTCCCCAAACATTCAAAGTAAGGAACCCGTAAGCAGAGGGTCAAGGGAAGCTGAATACCATTAGCATAGGGCGCGAATTTTTCGCGCGCGGCGAAGACGGACGACGCGACAGGATTAGTCTTTCGGACGTAATTGTGTAAATTGGACACATTGCACCATTCATACGCACTCAGAAATGAACTAACCCACTGGGGTGTTGTATAGGCTAGCCACTCATCATTGCCAACATCAACATTAGGTCTAGTCAGACCTATTGGCACACCCTTTCTCCCCTCTCTAGCATTCTAATCGCGACTTCCTAAGTACACTCGTTGTCCAGTCAACGGAGAAATCCCATTTACG